CCATTAATGGACTCCTGTCACGATTGAGTTTTGGAACTGGAGTCTATGCAGTATATTAAAGTATGAGGTTCTACCGAGTTATATCGTTTCTATCGTTTCTCCGTAAATAAAGTTCGACAGATAAACCAAATTCTGGGCCCAGAATATCATAGGTTTCTGTCCCTGTAAATTTAAGTGACTGCGTGACGCGTTACATCAACATTGCGTGATTCCTCTCAGAATATTACATAAGATTTTTCGGTCTGGTATCTATAAATAAATCAAGAATCGATGCAAGGACAGATTTGTATGAATTGGCGCTTTAAAGTATCGTAAAGTAGTTAAGAAATAAATTTCACTCCATAAATCGCAAAAAGAAATGAAATCAATTGAAAACTGTTCAAAGCCCCTATACAGCACTGTTTACGTCACATCAACGAAATCATTGCAAGCAAGCGCATGCTCTTAGACTAAATGCAAATTTTTTTATGCGTTCTAAACATTGTTGATTCAGTCAGCAAGAATCACATACAGTACTAGATTGGATAGTCCCTGTCTTTGATTTTACGACAAGTTTTCAAATGCAAGGATTGGTTGATTCCTGACTGTAACCTCCCTGGTGTGCGTCCGGCCGGATGTTGGGAAAGGCTGTTATATCAGTTTACTTCTGTGCTGTGATAGCCAGGAGCGGGACTGAATATTGATCATGTTCGATAAGAACGTGAAAATATCAGCTGCTATCTCATACACGGTCCAGACATAGAGCTTAGCTTTGCGCCCTGCCCGAAAATTCTAAGGTAAGCGCTAGTCTGACAACAAATGATTGCTGTTAAAGCAATGTTACCCCAGTGACTCACTGACTCGCCCATATGTCGGAACATTGGGTACACGGTTTGAATTATTATCAGGTGAATATCGGGGTGAATATTGAACGTACTGAAAGTTTTTCAATGTATAATACTTCAGTTATACTTGAACAATGTGACAGTAATATAATTCTTTCGGTGGCCAGCTTTTGTCCTCGCGATCGGTTGAACCTTTCGCGTGAAAGGCTGTATTTGAAATTTTCGCTCGGTGGAGATCCCAGTGACTCTAAATTTAACTCTCCATAGGTCGCTACGTGACAGTTTCACAGTATGCATGCAGTGTGTGTTGAAGTTTGCAACTGATCGGAAATTGCGGTTATCCTCTTTAGATCGCGTTTCTAAGCATAACCAGGATCCGATAAAATTTTATTTTCTCGGCGGCATTCATCCTAATTCAAGCAAATAACACTGGGGAATAATAACAATATAAATTACCGTAACGTGAGAAATTTTGTAAACTTTGCAGTAATCAGACATTGAAGAGTTTTAAAGCTTTGTGATCGTTTTCCCCGGTCTTCCACTTTGGAGTTTTGGCTTTTGTCCTTTAGAAGTTTAGCCTTTGTTACGGCAGTGATTTTGTGTTCATTTTTAATGGATTTATTCAATGATTCGTGAAAAGTAAATAGAATTTGACTGCATGCAATCTGCCTTTTTGTCCTTTAAAAAAGGAACGTGGTTCTTAATCCCTTCATAACAAGAGTTCGTTCAACGCTTTCAATTAGGTAGAGTGATCGTTTCCCGAAATTCAATCTCTGTCCGTTGCTAGAATCAACATTTCTCAGTCGCTTTCGGCTATGCCTGAATTAATTCATAGCGCATTGTTTAGAGTTAGCGTTGTGAATAATCACGGTTTTAATGATATTATACAATAGCTAATCTCAGTACATTTTCATTAAGAATTTCTCTGTTTTATTGTTAGCGAGAAGCCCCCCTATAAATTTCCCTTGTTTAAGAAAAAAACTTAAGCGCCCAACTTACGCGTTTTTTTGCCGTGGAGGTTGCGTGACACCCCTTCAATTTCCACGACTAAAGAAAAAATAAAAATATTTATATTCGTGTACAAACTTCGCGCAAAATTTTTTCACTTTTATTGGAAACGTTTAACAAAAATAAATTTGTTCAAGTTTCGTTTTTCGACATTCACTTTTCCAATTAAAGCTGGAAGCGTGCATTTGTATCGAATTTGTAATCGAATGCGAGCCAAATGTAAACAGACTCCGTTGTGATCAAGCAAGACAATGGCTTATCTTTTCATCTCTTTGCCACTCAGCTAAGGAATTTTTTCCGCTGATGAATAGACGGTCTTACAGTGCTGTTTCTATTTTTTCACCTTGGCTTTAGTGAACTGTTTTCCTCCCTCGTGTTTAGTTTGCCATTCCAGCAAAGTTCAAGTGGAGACAAAGATCTTCGTTCAAGAATTATCCTTTTATTGACAGTCTTTCCTGTTCCTACCAATAGGGAGCTTTCAAGAAGTAATTGCTTTTATAAAAAAAATGTCACTTTAAATTAAAGTCTGCATTCTACTTTAAACATGTATCTATTTCTCGTTTCTACGTATTTCGACAGGAACCCGATCAGGAGGAACATTGCATATATTTGAGGTTTTTCAGATTGTCAGTCACAATGGCTCCCGAAGTAAAATCCAGAAACGCGAAGACAAGAAGGCTCTCTGGGCAAGCCTTACGCCTGAGGAAAAAACGCTGGCCACTAACCGGGTTAAAAGCGGACAAAAAATATGTGGGTGAGTCATTTTAGAAAATATATTATTTCACTTCTATCATGGAACAATTTGCCGCGCTGCTTCTGTTTTTTCCTTAAAAAAACATCCTGTGTATTTTTTCACCTTGGAAGGTCTGGCAATTATACGATGATATTAGCTATTTTACGTGGCAGCGGGTTAGAATGGCACAGAACAAGATCATGCTTGGCAAATTGTTTGGTTAGACAAATCTTCTGTCAACACTAAAAGCTTTACAATTCAAGTAAAAATAGTTGACAAATTTTGTTCGAAGTGGACAAATCGCCAGAATAAAGTTGCTCCAAGTAAACTACGCACGAAATCGAATAGAAAAGCAAAGAAGTATTTTTCTTGTCACCGAGTCATTTGTCAGACGTTCCGTAAAAGCCTCTCCTTTAAGGCACAACAATATCAAATCTATTGCCAGTGATAATGAAACTATTACCAAAACAATTAGCGCTACAAAAAAAAAAGAGAGAGAAACAAGGAGAATTAACCCCATCAACCAGCTTAGCAGTGATCTGGCAGTTTGGATGCCCTAAAATTGTGCTCAGGTCAAAACGGGAACGCTTGCTAAAGAGGTTCCACATACCTCCAAAAAACCGAAAGAATCCTTTAATATCCATTCGCATATGTTGTACTACACATGTTGTCGTACATTTTTGCAGCTCAAATGTCTGATAACGCATAGAAAAGATCAGAATTTTCAGATGAACGATACTCACGACTACTCAGATTATTACTGAGAGATTTAGATGAGGCCAAAGATGACCTATCAGTTCCTCTCTGCGTTTAGCAGTGACGTATGGCAATTGATAGTATTAAGTACAGATAGTCAGGCATGCCATTTGTATATCGTCTAAAATATGATAGCGTTTACTAGTCTCACTAAAAACGGATTTAATATGGATCTGTATGAAATCCATCACGTTATCTATATGGTCCATTAGAATAAACGCTTTAGTAGGAGAAACTGAAGTCCGTTGGCACGAAAGCCGGCTTGAAACGCTGTTTTCCTAATAAATTTCCACTCTGTTTTATTTTTGTGGGACGAAGACCCTGTTCCAAAATAATTTGTACTTTTCGTTTTACGTTTTTCAGTTAGAATTTCATTTTGTCTGTTAAATTTCAGATTTTTTTGGTAGGCAGCGGAAAATCTCTTGATATCTATAGCAACACCCTTGTAAAAATTCGTACGATTCTAATCAATGGCTCGTTAGAAATAGTACCTTTCAGTGGAAAGTCACTATAAAATTCCCAGTAAAACCTTTTCATTACACGCTGGGCATTTATTGGGTTGTCGTAACACTCCAATGAAAAACGTGAAACAAAACAAAGCTGGCTTCCGTGTTATCATCTCTCGCATAAGCTTGCTGGCATAAAAATGTTTTTCCATACAACAGACTTTTATTTTCCGGTAGAAATAATAAACATCTGGAATAAACCGTGATTTATCGACTCGTGTTTTACCCTTCACTTAACCTGCCCCAGGCGTTCGGTTCCCTTGGAAAGGGGTGACCCTCAACTTCCCTGCGACAGAACAAAGTACTCTAAGCATGTTTTCCGGCTTTTCAAACCGTTGCGCGCGCTGGAAGTAGTGCCTTCGGACCATACAAAGAGTGCGAGGATACACAAATTCACCATGCAATGATTGATATGCTAAGTACAAATGACGACGGCGACCCCGAGGACAACGCCTAGTAAAAAATGAATTTGTATTTTATCTTCAAATTTCGCAGTTGTCTAGATCTGTTCAGTGTACCTGTTGGTCTCAGACCGTGACTTGCTCAAGCTAAATATGTAACGCCAGCGTTCAATTCCAAATGAAAATATGAAAAATTAGCTGCCGTCGTTCGCGTTCTCCGAAATACGTAGAACCTAGTCATTTCACGGTGTTGTTGTGCAGAGGACGGCAAAAAAATGTACAAAAATTTATTTATTTTTTACGGCCATTGTATTGTTCATTAAATCTTCTGCTCGTTACCGTTGCCGTTGCCGTCGTGATTTTTGCTTAAGGTCCCTAGTGATTGAAAGTACGTGCTTCATTTCAAGAAGTCCGCTTTGTGCACTAAACAAGTCCAGACATGTTTTTGAGAGAGAGAAAAACAAACTGCCGCCTGGAAACTGGAGACGAGGCGGAAATTACAATTGTTTTTTTTTTCTCCCTCTTCGATCGATGATCAGGGGTTCACACTCTGCAATAATGATGAACAAACATTTTTACGTCTTAATGACATACTACAAATTATAACTTCATCAAATTAAATTGTGACGTAACCCTCTAATTACATAATGTTTTCGAAAGAATACTTGTCCTGTTTCCATCGAACGGCCTCTGATATTTTTATTACAACAGCCATTTTCTGCTAGAATTTCCTTCATTCCTCGAAAATACTGAAGTCTATAATCGAGTCTTCTACGGCGTAGTTATGTAAAATGTCGTCAAAAGTTTTTCCTTATGAGGCGAATGAAGTCTCGAGTGATGCTTCTCCACCAGTTAATAATTATGAAGGTAAGTTAGAAGTGTTTCGTTTAGTACAATTGGTGATTTAATTTTGTTTCGGTTAATCCGAGTCTTGTCAACGGGAGATATGTTTCTTGTTTTGTTTTATTTGAAATCAGTTTCCCTTTTGTCAAGGTTTTAATTTGATGAGACTTAACGAAAAAGAATTGATTTGCATCTGGTGCGCTTTACACCAGATACCATTGGCTTTTCGAGTTTGTTGATCCGACCTGAGAATAAAGAAAAATTTCGAACAGTTGCGGCAACTTTCCCTAGAGGAGTAAACGCAACAAAATCATTCGGTTGTTAACAAGAAAATTCCCTTGTTCTCCTAAAGGTGAAAAGCCAACTTTGCATTTAAAAAGCAGCTGTTTCGTATCGGAATCTTGCGTGTCTCAGACAGAGAAAACAGGAAATCACCAAGGTGTAGTCGGTGTTGCAGTTCAGGTAGTTTACCAGTCAAGCGAATAATACTCAGACCACTCCCCCTGGGTGGGAACGGTATGCTACCGTCCAGCATTTGACCATTCTCGTCCCCAATGCTACTCGTTCCACTAAAAGAAACGGAGGGGAACGTCATTTTACCTCATACGCCAGGGTGGAGAGAGACACTGTGAGAGGAAAGTGTCTTGCCGAGAACCCCAAAGCCAGTGAACAATTGTTGTCATGGCTCCTTTACTTTAATTTTAGACACATCAAGGTCATTGGAAATAAAAACCTTTCGCTAGCATCTTTCTCTTATTTGTTTTCTTTCTTTCAATCTCTTTCATTCATTTTTCCATCTCTCTTTTTTTCTTCCTGTCTTTATTTTTTCTTTCTTTCTTTTTAGTAACATATACGCACCGTGTCATGTCGATATTAGTATGACACGCGATTTTGTGTTATGTATACTTCTAAAAGTTAATTTGTAAATATTTAAAAAATATATTTAAGATAGTACGCGCGCTCTGGTTGATAGGTGTGTTTAGGTTAGAGTATGTAAACACGCTTGTGACAAGAAATGTTTTATAAAAACAATAGAGGACTTCTTCCCGTGTTTACATAGTCTAAATAAATAAATAGATCAATTACAATATTTAGAGAGGAAGCCACAGCAGCCTTTTGCTGGTTTTCATGTGGGTCCAATAGCCTGTCGAATTGGAATTCAGAGATGTTGGTTTTTGTGGAGGGAGGAAAACCGGAGAACCCGGAGGAAAAACCTAGGAGCAAACAAGGCGACTGAGAACCAACGACAAACTCAGCCCAAATATAGCACCGGGCCGTAATCGAACTGGTGGGAGGCGAGCGCTCTCACCGCTGTGCCATCCGTGTTCCCCAATCTAAATACTTATAGTTTATGTAAATCCCCGACTGCCTCTCGGATTTGCATAATTATCTCGAATCCTACCAAGCCCCTCGTGTTTGGACAAGTAAGCATGGAAAAAGTCCTGTATTGTTTAAAATACAGGTATACTTTAGAGGATATTACACGAGTTATGAATATTATTTTCGAGTGCTAAAATATTGTTTCTAACAAGAGAAAATAAAATTCATATCTTCAAGCGATGGTGTGATTTTCTTTTTGTTACATAGATCAACTCACTGTTTGCACAAGCAACCGTGAAAAAGCGAGCAAAGACACCATCAATATCCTCATTAGTAAGGGATACGGAAAATACACCACCCTAGCTAGTGTCGGATGTAAATTCGTTTGAATTTTTTACGAGTGGTGTATTTTCCAGTAAAACATCCGTGCCTATATAATAAATGCTGTTTACATTTTTCAAAGCAATACTCTGCCGTTACCAAGGCAATTTGTTGTAAATGAGTTTGTTTACCGAAAAGTTGAATGCAAGTTTAGATTTTGTTTTTCTTTATGAATCCGATATATTTTCTTAGCTTTGTTCTCTCCAGGCCCGTCCCAAAACGGCAGTAGATGTAGATAGCCACATATACTTTGCACTGGGAACGTAGACTTTGTCAGCACGTAACAATAATAATTTATATCTTTGTATAATTTGCTGTGATTCGAAAGCCCATTTGAAACTTGTCCGTTGTCTGGTTTTGTTTTATCCAGTCTCGTTTTTCAGCGGCAATAAACTCCTCCTTTATAGGACTTTGCGTTAAGACGTCAATTAGTGTGGTTAATATTCTAACCTATTCAATTCTATTTTAAGTTCTTCGTCCTTGAGACTTCGTTTGTTTGTTTGTTTTATTTTTGCCATATATAGATACACATAAAAATGGACTTTGATTATGATTTATTCTTTACAAATTCAGATCACCTGAAAAAAAACTACACAAAGCCTTTTACTCGAAGGAAAAATCAAATTTTGAGAAACCTAGTTTGATATTTTAACTCACTCGGCTTTCGCCATATTCTTTGCATTCGATATTTTTTTATCACAGACTGCGCGTGACAAAAAGATGGACATTCACACGTGGGAAAACCCGCTCTTTGTGAAAAATAAACCAATCACAGCGCTTTTACAACGATAACTGTCAATCACCTTTTGTTTTTAGCATCGTATGTTGACCTTGACTTGCAAATATTGAAAATTATAGACCGAAAAGGAAAAACAACGCCGCTCGTGATAAAGAAAAAAATCCCCGCTTTGAATCGTGTGACAGACTTCGGCTTGCAGATTGTCCAGTACGAGAACGGTCAGGAACTGGGTTTGTAAGAAATAGGACGAATTTTTTCCAGAGAAGTTGCCGAGACCGCGTAGCGTGGTGGTGAAAACATGCTAAAATAGATGTGCAGTGACAATGGGTTTTCCTTGAATTGATGTTCACAATCTTGGTGAATGAATCTTCAGGAGTCAGTTGAAGGGTAAATATTTTCGTATCTATAATGGTTTTTCTATCAGAGGATATCTTTTTTCGAGAATATAACTTACATGGGTGTTTTAAACCGGCGGTTTGGTTTTTGGCTCAGGCTCAATTCAATGTAAACTTCAAATTTTAACCGCTTGTTTGTGAGGAGAAATTTGAAAATATGGACTATGTTGCGGATAGTTTCTTCTAAAAAAAGTTGTTAAAATGAGTGCTTTTATCCGGCTGTGGGAGAAAGCAGTGCTTTACAGCACAACAAGTCAAAAATACATAATTTCATACAGACTAATTTTAATGGGTACAATAGCAATATTGAAAACAACATGCATCTGAACAAGAAAATTATGTGGGACCATTTTAGTGTGAGTCTTTGTGAGTGTTTTTCCCTTCAACTTAAAGTGATTTTGTTCCGTTACCTTTTCGCTGAAATCTCGAAGAAAATCAGAGAAATACTTACATTTTGTAGTGTCATGAACGATTTTACTCGGTTGTGTCATCCGCTCACCTGATTATAAGCATTACTACTTGCCCCCATTTGATACTTGAAACATAACCACATGACTGTCATCTTGTCTTTTTAATTAATGTCTGGGTTAAAGAAATCTTGAATTCTAGGTCGTTGAGGAGCTTGACTGCACAAAAAATTGCGTGCAAGAGCCACTATATTTTCATGAATTTTAAACTGCTGGAGGCACGCTACATTTTGTCGCAAAACACATTTTTTTAATACATGTTTGTACAGAATGCTTTCTCCGTCGTATTGATTACAAATCACATGAAACACATGTTCTTTTATAGTTTTTTTTCCCTGTATAGTCACCGGCGCGAGGTTGCAACGCTCGGCAATTTCCACACGGCTTGTCGTATTTTATTTTGTGCTGGTACCTGCAGATGTTAATTCAAAGACGCCTTGTTAATTCCGCGAAAATCCAAGCATGCTTAGCTTTTTGGCGTTTGATTTGGACCGTTTTACTACAATGCTGTGCATGTTGTTTAGAATGACTTGTCCTATTTTGTCTATTTTCAACAAGACATCTTATTGTAATCCCCGCAACAGAATGAAGATTTATTTAACCATAAGATAGCGAAATAATTAGATAACACAGCAGTTTAAGACAGTGATTGAATATATGGCCCGTGGGTTTGCGAATTGGGAAGACTCGCGAAAGCTTAATTTAAAAACTTGAACATGAAGTAACTCATAGAAACACTTAGCATTTAAACCATGAGAGTTTGAATGGAATTCAAATATCTCTCTAATGACCATAGCCTTATCCACCATTATTTATTATATAAAAATCGTATAATGTGATTGAATTTTATTTTTTCATAGCTACTTTGTTGTCATCGGATGCCGTTTCAAACATGCATCCCACAAGCAGCAAATCCGAAGACCGAGAGTCAATTTTACTTAACGACGAGGAAGGAATGGTGGAAGTGAACTTGGAAGATCCATGGGTGCGAAGGGACGATTTTAAGCCCAAGAGGCGTGGTCGTGCTTTTGGTGAGTGTGAAAGAAATTACTTAAATTCAACTCGATATTTAGCTAAATATTCATTCAGAGTTCTTTTTATTTTAGGGTCATATTTNTTTTTTCCCTGTATAGTCACCGGCGCGAGGTTGCAACGCTCGGCAATTTGCACACGGCTTGTCGTATTTTATTTTGTGCTGGTACCTGCAGATGTTAATTCAAAGACGCCTTGTTAATTCCGCGAAAATCCAAGCATGCTTAGCTTTTTGGCGTTTGATTTGGACCGTTTTACTACAATGCTGTGCATGTTGTTTAGAATGACTTGTCCTATTTTGTCTATTTTCAACAAGACATCTTGTTGTAATCCCAGCAACAGAATGAAGATTTAACCATAAGATAGCGAAATAATTAGATAACACAGCAGTTTAAAACAGTAATTGAATATATGGCCCGTGGGTTTGCGAATGAGGAAGACCCGCGCAAGCTTAATTCAAAAACTTGAACATGAAGTAACTCATAGAAACACTTAGTATTTAAATCAAGAGAGTTTGAAAGGAATGCAAATATCTCTCTGATGACCATAGCCTTATCCACCATTATTTATTATATAAAAATCGTATAATGTCATGAACTTACGGTTTGTGATTTTATTTTATTTTTTCATAGCTACTTTGTTGTCATCGGATGCCGTTTCAAACATGCATCCCACAAGCAGCAAATCCGAAGACCGAGAGTCAATTTTACTTAACGACGAAGAAGGAATGGTGGAACTGAACTTGGAAGATCCATGGGTGCGAAGGGAGGATTTTAAGCCCAAGAGGCGTGGTCGTGCTTTTGGTGAGTGTGAAAGAGATTACTTAAATTCAAATCGATATTTAGCTAAATATTCATTCAGAGTTCTTTTTATTTTAGGGTCATATTTTAACCGAGCGGATAGTGTAGCTAGTCAGGATATATATACTCCTGATTCGTTAAACTACGTTTAGAAATGACGAGTCGATCTTTCTGCTCCTTGTTAATCAACCTGTTACATTGTTGTCAAACATTTCAAAAGAATGTGTTCTGTTGCATAGCAACTCCTGCCTTTCTTTCAAAGCGCATGCTCTTAGAAGATTCATGTTTAAATTTTAACTTGTATAGATTCATCCTCTCAAAGGTTTTTTAGAAACTATTTACAATGATTATTACATTATCGATACAAAGACTAAAGCAGACATTTTTACTAGAAATCGTTGTTTAATTTTTAACTACAACTGTAACAAGTTCACCCTAATGAAACTTCACGATCATTTGAATAGCTTTCAAAGTACTTTTTAATCATTGAATTGCTTTGATGAAAAAGTAGTGAATTATCAATTTGAAGCCGTTTGATTGATAAGCTAATCGTCCTGTTAAATTGGGAAAGCTCGCGTTTTCGGTCGTGTTAAACCCCGGAGAGGGGGTACTTCCAGAAAAGTTGGGTGGGGGTGTGCGGCCCACTTCCCAAAATCCTTACTCTATTTATGACCGAAATCTGCGTTTTTTGCTACCCTATTTACGACCTGTCCAAAAATTTAATAGCCTTTTTATGACCGTTGCAGCTGACACAGTTGCCCAAACAGTTTATATGAAAGGCTTTTGTTGACGGTTTTATTGATAAAGATGAAAAGGTAGCTTCTTCTAAGAAACATACCCAATTCAAGACTAGAGTGCTAAAACCATGCCCCATTTATAACCAAAATGGCCAAAATCGAGACCCTATTTATGACCAAAACGGCTGAAAAGCCTTACCTTTTGGGGCCGCACATACCTATATAGCCCATATAAGGTAGCACCTCCCCCCCCCCCCCCCC